GGGAGAATTTTTTGCCGCGTGAACCCCGGAGGCGGAGCTTGCAGTGAGGCCGGGATCGCACCACTTCACTTTCAGCCTGGACGACACAGCAAGACTCCGTCTCAAAAAAAAAAAATATTATTAAGAATAAACCTTTTCAGCTTTCTGAGCAGCACCATCGGCGTGGTAAGAACAAGCGCCTTACGAGAAGGCGGCAAAAAGGGAGCCAAGAAGAAAGTGGTTGATGCATTTTCTTAAAGAAAAGGACTTGGTCATGATGGGTGATAAGCAATTGCTGATGTTCAATGTAAGACAATATTGGATAGGACGCTCGCTCACCAGGACCCAAGGAACCAAAAATTTGCCACTCTGATGGTCTCAAGGGTCGTTGTGTTTGAAGTAGTGCTTGCTGATTTGCAGATGATGGATGAAGGTTGCATTTTTAGAAAATTCAAGCTGGACTGTACTGAAAGATTGTTCAGGGCAAAAAGCATGCCTGTAACTTCCATGGCTATGGATCTGTTACCGCTGGACAAAAGATGTGCTTCGCATGGCTCAAAAAGTGGCAGACAACGATGGCAAGCTCCATGTTGCATGGTCAAGACTACCTTATGGTTACTTGCTTCGTCTGCTTCTGTGCTGCGTTGTTACTAAAAACGCAAACAATCCAGGATACGGAAGGACTTCTTATGCTCAGCCACCAACAGGTCCGCCAGAATCCGGCCGAAGCAAGATGATGGAGAAATCAGTGCACCCCGACGCAGGTGCGACAATATGCACTTGAAAGGAAGTTGGTTCGAATTTAATATTGATTCCCAGAACAGCATTGCGGAAAAGACACAGAAAAGCTTGCCCAATCTGCTTTATTCCTCTCCTAATGAGTTTTTCTTTTAGGAAAGTAAAATGCTGCAAGAAGCCCAAGTTTGAATGGGAAAGCTCATGGAGCATTCAAATCTTCAGTGGGAAGGAGTAGTTCTGGAAAAAGCCACTGGGATAGACACTGGTGGCCTAAGTGAAACGCAGCTGATGAGATATGAACACCAGTCCAGATCTGTTTAAAGTTTGCCAGGAGCTTCAATGTGAGGTGTCAAATAAAGTGTTTTTGTGGGGGAAAAAAAAAAAAAGAATAAACCAACTTGTGGCCACATCCAGGATGCACAGATAGTTATTCAACAAAAAAAAAAAAAAAAGGCTAACAAGCCACAAAGAGGTATGGAGGAAAGTTACATGCATGTTGGTAAGTGAATGAAGCCAACTGAAAAGGCTGCATATTACATGATTCCAACTATATGACGTTCTAGAAAAGGCAAAACTATGGAGACAATAAAAAAATCAGTGCGGCCCGGCACAGTGGCTCACGCCTGTAACCCCAGCACTTTGGGAGGCCGAGGTGGGTGGATCATCTGCGGTCAGGAGACCAGTCTGGCCAACATGGTGAAACCCCCCGTCTCTACTAAAAATACAAAAAATTAGCCAGGTATGGTGGTGCGTGCCTGTAATCTCAGCTACTTGAGAGGCTAAGGCAGGAGAATTGCTTGAACCCAGGAAGCAGAGGTTATAGCGAGCTGAGATCATGCCACTGCACTCCAGCCTGGGCAACACAGCAAGACCCTGTCTCAAAAAAAATTAAAAGATCAGTGGTTGCCAGGGCTCAGGGGAGGAAGGGAAGGATGGATAGGTGGAGGACAGGGGTTTCAGGGCATAAATCGATTTGTATGATACTAGAATGGTGGGTATGGTGGGTACATGTCAGGATACATTTGTCCAGGCCCATAATAAGCATGACACACAGAGTGACCCCCAAGGTTAATAATAAGGTAGCAGTATTGGCTCATCAGTGCTAATGGACGAACTACATTCATGCAGGATGTGAATAAAAGGGAAAACTGGGAGAGGAAGGATATAAGAGGAATATGTGGGCGCCCTGTGTACATTCAGCTCAAGATTTTTCTTTGTTCTTTTTTTTTTTTTTTTTGAGATGGAGTCTCACTATTTCACCAGGCTGGAGTACAGCGGCACGATCTCAGTTCACTGCAACCTCCACCTCCTGGGTTCAAGCGATTCTCCTGCCTCAGCCTCCTGAGTAGCTGGGACTACAGGCGCGCACCACCATGTCCAGCTAAATTTTGTATTTTTAGTGGAGACGGGGTTTCACCATGTTGGCCAGGATGGTCTCGATCTCTTGATCTCATGATCCGCCTGCCTTAGTCTCCCAAAGTGCTGGGATTACAGGTGTGAGCCACTGCTCCCGGCCTTCAATTTTTCTATAAACCCAAAACTGCTTAAAAATAAAATCCAGGCAGGGTGCAGTGGCTTGTGTCTGTAATCCCAGAACTTTGGGAGGTCGAGGTGAGTGGACTGCTTCATCCCAGGAGTTCAAGACCAGCCTGGGCAACATACTGAAACCCCATCTCTAAAAAAAATACAAAAATTAGCCAGGCATGGTGGTGTGCATCTTTAATACCATCTACTCAGGAGGCTGAAGCAGGAGGACTGACTGAGCCTAGGAGGTGGAGGTTGCTGTGAGCTGAGATCATAATGCTGCACTCCAGCCTGAGCAACAGAGCAAGACCCTGTCTCAAAAAAAAAAAAAAAAATCTATTTAAAAAAATTAACTAGGGCCAAATAATCAAATGCAGTAGAGTGCTGAAAGTGATGCGTTGCTAAGAATCAGTGAATTAAATTGGAATATAGAAACAAAATCTGGTAAGTTTCCTTTCTTATCTTTGAACAATACTTATAAAATTAAATTGTTTCTCCCCAAGACAGACATAGCAGGTAATGTGACCAATTTCTCTCTCCTACATTCTTAATTCCCCATCCCCTTCTGTTTCCATCTGCTCATTCCCTATAATTTATATTTATATTTAGATCTCTTATTGTGTGGGTGTGAGTGGTAGAATTATGGAATCATAATTGTCTCAAGCTGCAACTTCTAGGAACAGAATTATTTAATATTTGGCTGTTTCTTAAAAGCTGATTTATTCAAATGAAATTGTTCTTTTGGAAACTTGCTAATCCTAAAAGGATCATCTTTCTGGAAATGTATTTTGCCACTTAACAAATTAGTCACAAAAAGAAAACATTCCTAAAAGGACTCCTGTCTTCAGCCACAACAGCCCTTCCCGGGTCACCACAAGCCTGACTTCACTTAGTGGTAATAGAACAACCCCACTCAAGCAGCATTCACAATTACAGAAATCAAATAGTATTAATCATCGTGTTTTGCAGCAGTTTTAACATGCATGACAGACGATTATGGAGATAGCCACCACTTACATCAATCTTTTTCTAAAACATATTAATCTGGAAAACAAAACTTTGCTATCAAAACCAGATTTCACTGTATTTGATACTCATAAGATTCCTGCTCACAAAAACATGATTGCCTTGTTTCCTGGCTGGAGGTGGGATCCACAGTCATGTCTATTTACCATGAACACTGGGAGCTAGTACAGGCCTTAGGACTAAGGAGGGGACCCCAAAGGAAAAGGAGAATGCTGCGGACACAGGAGAGATGGAGGAGCATGTTCACTATAGGATCTTGTGTGACAGCAAGAAATTAGAAGCAATGTAAGTGGCCACAGAGAGGGGAACAGTTACATTTAAAAAGAGGAAGTGGGCTGGGCACGGTGGCTCATGCCTGTAATTCCAACACTTTGGGAGGCTGAGGTGGGCGGATCACCTGAGGTCAGGAGCTCGAGACTAGCCTGGCCTATATGGCGAAACCCCGTGTCTACAAAAATACAAAAGTTAGCTGGACATGGTAATGTGTGCCTGTAATCCCAGCTACACGAGAGACTGAGGCAGGAGAATCACTTGAACTCAGGGAGGCAGAGGTTGCAGTGATCCAAGATAGCACCACTGCACTCCAGCCTGGGGGACGGAGTGAGACTCCATCTCAAAAAAAGAAAAACAAAAAGTGGAAGTAGAGATACATGCACTGATACAAGAAACCTTCCAAGACATATTAAGTGGAAAAACGTTTTGTAGAAATGCAGGATTATCTCATTGGTAAAAAAAAAAAAAAAACAAAAAACACAAAAACTAAATGTGAGCCATGTGAGCATGCACACAGGCATGGGCACACAGATGACATGTTGTACATGCCCAGAAAAAGGTCAGGAGAGGAGCAGTCACAGCCAACTGTGGCAGGAGTTATATAAGGAAATGAGATTGGGGTAGGGGTGTGTGTAGGAAGAAGAATCTTTGCCTTCAAACATGTATAAGTTGTCTGAATTTTTTATGAATAGTTTTTGTTTGTTTGTTTGAGACAGAGTCTCACTCTATTACCCAGGTTGGAGTGCAATGGAGCAATCTTGGCTCACTTCAACTTCTGCCTTCCTAGGTTCAAGCGATTCTCCTGGCTCAGCCTCCCAAGTAGCCGGGATTACAGGCATGTGCCACCACGACTGGCTAATTTTGTATTTTTAGTAGAGATGGGGTTTCACCATGTTGGTCAGGCTGGTCTTGAACTCCTGACCTCAGGTTGGATCCCACCCACTTCAGGTTCAAAGTGCTGATTCCTTTGTGAGCGCTCCCACCAGGCCCAACACTGAATAGTTTTAAACAGAACAAGAAAAAATAGAGGCGCAGGCTATGTAGGCTGACACCATGATATCTCGACACTTTGGGAGGGCCGAGGCGGGAGAGGATTGCTTTAGTTACGCGAGTTCAAGACCAGCGTCTGAGAGTAATAAGTGGAGCTCCATCTCTAAAAAAGATTTCTAAAATTAGCTGGTGTGGGGCGGGCACAGTGGGTGATGCCTGTAATCCAGCACTTTGGAGAGCCGAGGCGGGGGGATCACGAGGTCAGGAGATCACGCCATCCTGGTAACACGGTAAAACCCCATCTTTACTAAAATAAACAAAAACAAAAATTAGCAGGCGTGGGTGGCAGGGTGCCTGTAGTCCCAGCTACTCGGGAGGCTGAGGCAGGAGAATTGCATGAACCAGGAGGTGGAGCTTGCAGTGATGCCGAGATCCATGCGCCACGTGCAGCTCCAGGCGCTGGGCGACAGAGCAAGACTCTGTTCAAAAAAAAAGAAAAAAAAAAAAAAATATTAGCTGGTGTGGTAACACACGCCTGTATCCCCAGATACTCGGAGGCTGAGGAAGGGTAAAGATTCCATTGACCCGAGGAGATGGGAGGTTGCAGTGGACCATTCATACCACTGCATTTCCGTCTGATGGTGACAGAGGTGAGAAAGCTGTTCTCAATAAAAAAACAAAATATAAAGAAGAAGATAGAAGGAAAAGGAAAGTGAAGGAAGAAGAAGAGAGAAGAAGATACTTGGCAATAAGCTAAAAGAAATTTCAGGAGGTGAAGCTGGGAGATTTGGTTCTAGTTCAGGCCTCGGGCAACAGCCAGGGCTCTGCTCTTTAAAAAGGTGGGCGTGTGGGTCATGCTTGTTTAATCCAAGCACTTTGGGAGCCCAGGCGGGCAGTCACGTGGTCAGGATCGGACCATCCCTGGCTAACGCGATGAAAACCGCCCCGTCTCTATAAAAGAAAAAAAAAAATTAGCAGTGTGTGGTGGACATGGGTTTGTAGGTTCCAGCGTACTGGAGGCTGAGGGCAGGGAGAATCACTTGAACCCGGGAGGCAGAGGTTGCAGGTGATCCGAGAGTCATTGGCCAGCACTCCAGCCGTGGGTGACAGAGTGATTCCGTTCCAAAAATAATAATAGAAATAAATAATAACATAAAAAGTAAAGTAAATTTGGCAAAGGAGACCATCAGAAAAATTTTGGTTCTGCAAGTGAAGACAAGGCTACGCAGAACCCAAATTCTTGGGGAGTGGCTCTTGCCAGGTCCAGATAGCTGGGCCCCTGACACGAAGAATACACCTTCTCCTTAGAGATATTACCTGGTTGATGCTTGCTGGCTAACCAAGACAAGAGTCTTTGTGGGCCCTAAAGCTCAATTATTCTTCCTCTCAGACTGAACAGTTGCAAGCTATGGGAGAGAGGCTGTCACACTAGGCTCAAATGAAGCCAGTCTGCAGAAAGGAGGTTTTCAGTTGTCTGCATTTCCCTCCAGACATCTTGCCACCGTCATCGTCATTGCCACACAGTTGCGGACACTTACTGAGTACTCACTATGTCTTAGGAACTACATTAAGTATTTGATATCCATTCAATCACTTCCACATCTTCCAAAGGCATGAATCTACAGGAAGGATGAATCCTAGGAAACAATTTTCAGAAAGTAGCAGATGGAGGAAGAAGGAAAAAACTCCTCCTTTTCCTTCTCTTGGTAAATGATAATATTTTTACTCCTCGCAGATGGTGCCTCCCTGGAATATCTTCAGCAGTGGCAAAGGCAGATTCCTCTGGACTGCCTGGGCCTTTTCATGCGGCTTTCACTCCTCCATTACCTTCCCCTCTGGGACCCTCTTGGAATGGATGGTTTGGGGGGCATGGAAAGATATCAAGGCAGAAGAGGTGAGGCAGAAAGGGGAAGGGGTGGAACTTGTGGCATGAAGGAGGAATTTTACAATGTGAGAGAGAAAAAGGAGAGGAGACAGGAGGGGAGGAGAGAAAAGGGAAAGGAGAGGGGAGGGGAAGAAGAGGGAGAGGAAGCGAGAAGGAAAGGGGGAGGAGGAAGCTGGGGAGGGGGCCGGAATGGAGTTTGAATCTCCCACGTGAAATAGCACCCTATGCAACAGACAAACTATGTCTGGAATTTCCTGCCTGCTGAGCAACACCATTGAACCCAGATGCAGCTCTCAAGCTCATGTTCAGTCACACATGTTCCAGACAGAGCTCTTAACGGAACTTTAAAAGACACAAGTCTAGGCCGGGCGCGGTGGCTCAAGCCTGTAATCCCAGCACTTTGGGAGGCCGAGATGGGCGGATCACAAGGTCAGGAGATCGAGACCATCCTGGCTAAAATGGTGAAACCCCGTCTCTACTAAAAAATACAAAAAACTAGCGGTGGCTCATGCCTGTAATCCCAGCAGCTTTGAGAGGGACGAAGCAGGTGGACCACCTGAGGCTTAGGAGTTCAAGACCATCTGCGCCAACATGACGAGACCCCATCTCTACTAAAAATACAAAAATTAGCCAGGCTTGGTGGCTCATGCCTGTAATCCCAGCTACTTGGGAGGCTGAGGTACAAGAATCACTTGAACCTGGGAGGCAGAGGCTGCAGTGAGCCAAGATGGCGCCACTGCATTCCAGCCTGGGCGACAGAGCAAGACTCTGTGTAAAAAAAAGAGACACAAGTCTGTTATTAGTTTAAAAAGTATCCTTCTGGTGGTATTCTTTTTCTCCCACACGCATAAAATTCCCCTATTGCGCAACACTCTCAAAGTGCTGGGGGAGATTCAAAAGCATTACACTTACCAAGGGATACACCGGGGCACTTTCATCCCTTTCGAACAGAATGTCCTCTGTGGTGCTGGACACCAGTGACTCCCTGGAGATCCCTGCTTCAGACTGGATGTTGGATACTCTACTTTCTTGTCCCTCATCTCTGTTTTCTGGCTCCAAATCCCTTCTTTCTCGTCCCAGTTCGTCTTGGAGCATCCAGTCGGTTTTCTCCTCAAGCTCTCCTGAGGGCTGCCTTTCAGGGGAACTAATTTGTTGTTCCTCAGGACTGATTTGATCCAAATCAAGAAATTCAAGTTGTGTGCTTAGGCCTCTTAAAAGCTCATCTGTTTCTGCATCCTCCAATTGTAAGGAAGGCTTTGACTTGCTACCTCTTCGGGTTTTCTTTAAAAAGAAATACAAGATCATGATTCCACATGCAGTACGTGCTGCTACACTCACCATTTATTCTCCTTTTCTATTCCCAGTCAGCCAGTCTCAGTGTTAGCCTCAGCTAGGAATGATGAAATGTTTTTTAAAAGAGGCTGGAACATTTTGTACTTAAAAAACAAAACAAGGCCGGGCACGGTGGCTCAAGCCTGTAATCCCAGCACTTTGGGAGGCCGAGACGGGCGGATCACGAGGTCAGGAGATCGAGACCATCCTGGCTAACACGGTGAAACCCCGTCTCTATTAAGAAATACAAAAAACTAGCTGGGCGAGGTGGCGGGCGCCTGTAGTCCCAGCTACTCGGGAGGCTGAGGCCGGAGAATGGCATGAACCCGGGAGGCGGAGCTTGCAGTGAGCTGGGATCCAGCCACTGCACTCCAGCCTGGGCGACAGAGCGAGACTCCGTCTCAAAAAAAAAACAAGATGGGGTGCAATGGCTCACGCCTATAATCCCAACACTTTGGGAGGCCAAGAGGGGAGGATCACTTGAGCCCAGGAGTTCAAGACCAGCCTGGGCAACATAGTGAGTGACACCTTCTCTCTACCCAAAATGAACAAAATTAGCTGGATGTGGTGGTGCATGCCTGTAGTCCCAGCTACCCAGAAGGCTGAGGTAGGAGGATTGCTTGAGACTGGGAGGTCGAGGCTGCTTGTGAAAGATCATGCCACTGTACTCCAGCCTAGGTGACAAAGTGAGACCCCAGGAAGGAAGGAGGGACAAGAGGAGAGAAGGGAGAGGAAGGGGAAGGGAGGGGAGGGAGAAAAGAAAAAGAGAAAAAATAAAAAGAAAAAAGAAAAGAACAGAACAGGACAAACACGGTGTGTTCCAGTTTATTCTTGGCCTACCAGCAGACCCACAATGGCAAAATCATTCTTCTAAGTGGCACTAGTGGTCTCCAAAAGGCTGACTAGTTACAGAGAGTGACCTATTCTTAGGCCACAGCTAAGTTCTCCTACTGGGAGCAGTCTGTGGGAAGCCTACACTCCTATTATCATACCGACTCCATTCTAAGGCGAGCACCTCAGCTGTGGCACCCACCTTCCCCAGGAAACTTTCCCTGGCCATCCTCCAAACTGGGTTAAGAGGCCCTGTTTCATCTCCTGTGCATCTTTCAGTCACTGCACTCATGGGTCTGCCTCCCTACACACCTTAGAGCTCCTTAAAAGAATGGATTGTGGCCGGGCACGGGGGCTCCTAGCACTTTGGGAGGCCAAAGCTGGTGGATCACCTGAGGTCAGGAGTTTGAGACCAGCCTGGTCGACATGAGTGAAACTCTGTCTCTACTAAAAATACAAAAAATCTGCCAGGCGTGGTGGTGGACGCCTGTAATCTCAGCTACGCAGGAGGCTAAGGCAGGAGAATCACTTGAACCCAGGAGGCAGAGGTTGCAGTGAGCTGAGATCGCACCATTGCACTCCAGCCGGGGCAACAAGAGTGAAACAATGGATTGTGACCGGGCATGGTGGCGTGTGCCTGTAATCCTAGCACTTTGGGAGGCCAAGGTGGGCAGATCATTTGAGGTCACATGTTTGAGACCAGTCTGGCCAACATGGTAAGATCGAAATCCCACCTCTACTGAAAATACAAAAAATTAGCTGGGCGTGGTGGCGGATGCCTGTAATCTTAGCTACTCAGGAGACTGAGGCAGGAGAATAGCTTCAACCCAGAAGGCAGAGGTTGCAGTGAGCTGCGATTGTGCCACTGTACTCCAGCCTGGGCGACAGAGTGAGGCTCTGTCTCAAAAAAAAAAAAAGGAATGGATTGTATCTTACTTGGTTTTGTGTTCCCATAGTCTGGCCTATACTAAGCATTCAATTAATGATTCTGAATGAATTGACGATTGAATGAAGATGACTACTTACTGGGAAAATTCCTGATGTGATTGACTGGGAATCGGTAATCTGTGTCTCCAAATGGATCATGGACTCTGTGACTTCTTGGGGCTCCACTGTGGTTTCTTCCTGTATTCCTGAAGCCTCCTTCTCCTGGGCTTCTCCAGCCACTTCCTCAGTTTCTTCCATGACAATCTTTTTGTCCTCCTTCCCCTCCTCCTCCTTCTCTTCCTCCTCCTCCTTCTCCTCCTCCTCCTCCCCTTCCTCCTCACCCATTTTCCTCTCCTCCTCCTGAGACTCTCTCCATGCTAATGTGTCATCTTTTGATTCCTGTTGTAGATTTTCTACTTCTTTATAATTTGGATTAGGTTCCTCCTCTTCTTTCATTTCTGTTTCTCCATTTTCTCCTGTTGCTTCTCCGGGAGCTTCTTCTGCATCTGACATTCTTCTCTGTAGAGCTTCCTCTAGAGAGATTTTGACCATAATAACCAGTCAGCCCTCAGCTTCCCATTTCCATCTCCTAGTGCACTAGCCTATTGATGAAATGTGAACAAATGGCTCTGGCCCCTTTCCACAGGATAAAAAGAATGTCATGTTTCTGAACAGGCACGGTGGCTCACAACTGTAATCCCAGCACTTTGGGAGGCCAAGGCAGATGGATCACCTGAGGTCATGAGTTTGAGACCAGCCTGGCCAACATGATGAAATGCTGTTTCTACTAAAAACACAAAAATCAGCTGGGTGTGGTGGTGAGTGTCTGTAATCCCAGCTACTCAGGAGGCTGAGACAGGAGAATTGCTTGAACCTAGGAGGTGGAGGTTGCAGTGAGCCAAGATCTGCCACTGCACTCCAGCCTGGGTGACAAAAGCAAACTTCTATCTCAAAAATAAAAATAAAAAAAGAATGTCATATTTCTGGCCAGGCGCAATGGCTCACACCTGTAATCCCAACATTTTGGGAGGCTGAGGCAGGAGGATCACTTGAGGTCAAGAGATTGAGACCAGCCTGGCCCACAACAGACCAGCCTTCCCACGCATGGCTGGGAAATCTTAAAGTATATGTATTTGTGGCCCAGATCTTAAAAATATTGATCCAGGGCCGGGCGCGGTGGCTCACACCTGTAATCCCAGCACTTTGGGAGGCCGAGACAGGCGGATCACAAGGTCAGGAGATCGAGACCATCCTGGCTAACGTGGTGAAACCCGGTCTCTACTAAAAAAATACAAAAATTAGCC